CTGATAAACTGTACAATGAAATCAATAACTGCAGGAAGTTTGTGTAAAATGAGAGATTTGGATGATTTTTGAGCAGAACATTTTGTGTGAATATTAATCAGAGATGAGTTTTCTGATATTTTAGGAACTTTTTATACAATTCTCTGTATTATGTATCTTTTTACTACCAGACTACTTTAAACTAAATACTAAAAATGACAATTTCATTCAGTTTTCTGTATAGAAATGAACACAATGTTGACATAAAGGCTGACTGTGTGTATTTTAAAAGTTTTATTACACCCCTTTAAATCAAGATGGCCTCGCGACCCCCTGTGAAGCTTGTGGCAACTTCTACCCTTATTTTCTCTGAATGTTAATCAGAGAGTAGTTTTAAGAACTTTTTAACAATCATACAGACTTAAAAGGCTTCTTTTTTGACAATTCAGTGTTTTCTTCTCCCTGACGCCTGCTCTATTAGCTCTTTGTTATAACTGTGTACATTTTTCCTACACTTTTCTCCAGTATGTCCTTTTTGCCCGACTCACTGTCCTCCTTATTCCTGCCTGAGCTTGTTTATACTGAATCTGTTGAGGTAAAAACACAACTGAAATGACATGAAAGTTAGAAGAATAAGTAAATTAATTCACATTTTGTTGATAAATGATGTTTGCTGTGTTAAAACTGTACGTTTAGAGCATTTCGGTGCTCTGTTTGGGAAACAATCATGTCCAGAACGGAGAGGCTCTGTGTGTAGGATCCTAAAAAAGAAGAAGAGATAGGGTCAAGGTAACCTCGCGGAGAAGAAACAAGGCTGGGCAGACCGCCAAATGCTTTGACAGCAGTTTCGAGGTGTCAGAGAAACCACTGGGCTGATAAGACTCATTAAAGACAGACACGCGGCTGTCTGCAAGTCCAAAATGACAACTTGCCAGGTGTGGGATCATGGCGGGGGCAGCCACAGAGAAATAAGGTCAATGCAAGTTCAGCTCTGTAAAAAAAACCATAAAAGCCATTAGATCTGGTTTGTATTTGGGCGTGTACAAAATATAACCACTAGGGGGATTATGTCATTGTTTCTGAATCCTTTTACGGTTTTATATAAGAAAGTTTAAACTCTTATGCAGTCTTATGAGTATTTCTGACTCCATTAGGTTTATTTAAGGATGTATTTTAGTGAATGTCTGCAAGATTTCAGACCTTTTTCTCGACTTTTACCTGAAATCATATGCTAGAAATGATTATATTTCACTATTATCTCCTCTATGTTACTGCTTTCCTCTTTATTTTGGCTTTGTAAGAACAGACTCCAGTGCAGCTGATTCCTTGTCTTATTTTATTACCAATATCTTGGCGCTCTGGTGTCTCACCTGGTGGAGAGCGTGCCCCTGAGGGTCTTTGCTGCATGTTGTCCCCAATTGCCTGTCTCACTTGATCTGTCCTGTCAAAATAAAAGGCATAAAAGCCCCTTTTTTCCCACTATCCATCCATTTCTGTCTTCTGTGGTCACTTCACTTCCTGGTTATATTACTGGGAACCAGTATGAAGCTCAGATAATACCATTACTAACATCTATCCTTCTAATTCCATCATTCAACCACACTAAATTCTTTTCATCTCACAAATCTTCTATTACGTGAGCATTATTATCTTTTCTCTCACTCCTGCATAATGTGTTATGCCACATTAAGATCCTCACATTCAAATTATTTCTCTTTCCTTAAGCTTGTTCCCCCTGCCACACCCAGCACATCCTCTCTTTCCTTGGCATATTTTAGCAACATGACCAAATTCCTGGCAATTAAAACACCTCACTGTGCTCTCTTACACTTTTTCTCACACATCCAAAGTATATTCGTCTCAAACCCTTTTCCTTCTCCCTTGTTATTCTTATAACTCTTGTTCCCCTTACTACTCTGACTTTTCCAACACTAATCATTTTCTTTGCCTTTCTCCATCTGCAAGTTTCCATCTCCCCAAAACTCGCCCTCAAATGATTTATGTTAGCTTTAGAGGATTGACTTTACTTTGCTCCCTCAAATCTTCCCACTACATTAAGCAGTCCTGCCTTCGGGTCTTTCTCCTCGCCCTCTCTTCCCTCATTCTCCGTTCCACCTGAGCTATAGCTGCGTCCTTTCTCTTTGACTCTCCCTCCTCTCGTTACTGCACTTTCCCTCAGTGCTGTCAATGTCTGCCTCCCTCCCTGCCGTCCTGTCAGAGTTTGTAAGGAACAGTGTAAGAATATCGCTCTGCACCTACAGTACACGGGTTCCCACACAACACCCATTCAGCTAGTAATCCCCATTTCTACTAAATGTAACTGTAATCTGATTACATCTCTCTTTCTGTAACTGCAATGGATTACATATCCTTTTTTTGTCTCCTGATTACTCAGTTAAATGGAATCCGTTACTCCCCAAGCCCGGTGATTACCTCACTACTTCATGTTAAGATGGCTGCTGTGAAAAAGGTCTATATAGCTTATATTAGCATTTAATTTAAGGGTCTTAGAATTAGAGTAGAGTTACATTTATTAAGTTTTTTTGGCGAAAAATCCTCACTTTGATTCTGTTACATCAGGATACATCAGCAGCCGCATGTGGTTCTTAAGCTCCTCTTCAGTGGCTCCTTAGATGGAATAACTGTAATTTGTTTTACCTTTTATTTGTTGAAAGCCTAAAATAAACCTTAATTTCCCCAATTGTACAAATGTGTAGCCCTACACACAGAATCATATAAGTGTTTTTGCATTTCATTAACTAAAATATGTGTCGAAACCGAACTGGACACACAGCTGACAAAAGCTTATGAGTGTCCCAAGTTGAAAAGTCGCTTAAAACCTCAAATAAAGTTTAAAAATCTCCCAAAACCCGACAGACTTGTGTTTGAAACATTACATTTTGGGGGGTAATGGGAAAAAAAAATAAAAAATTAGTTCTCTAATTTCATATCAACAAAACATGTTATTATTGCAAGGTTAACACCAAATAATCATAAAGTGCATCCACATTTAGACCTATTAGACTTAATATGCTGTATTATAAAGCTCAAATATGCTCCAGACAGATGGTAATTATTGATAGTACAGTTTGCCGACCCTCTGGGACACAGTCATACAGGTGCTCTGTTACCTGAGCCACGCCCCTCGGGACTCGAGCTCCATCTACAGGTGAGTGATGCCTCACTGTCGGACTGTTTCCCTCAGTTAGCTCCAGCAGCTCATATATTACCGGCTGCGGCTGGAAACGCTGGTCTGAGGTCAGTAGCCTTCATCAGACACTCAGCTGTCTGTTGTGCTAATGATAATGCTAATGAGGTTAATGTCTATCATGCTTCAGCTACAGTGCTGCTGTCTGTCAGTGACATGGGATCATTCAAGGTAATGTGTTTGACTTTCTCTCTCGTGTGGGCATAACTATTCTACCACAGGTGGTCTTCATCAGGCAGAAGGGAAGTGAACACACCTGTATTTAATTGGCAATTAAGGATGAAACTTCCCATCATTATCTCCTTTAGCCTAATAGGTCTTCTGACACATTGTATGGGAACTCATTTCCACCATTGGGATGAAAGAAAGGATACTTTAAGTCATTATAATGATTAACTTTCTCAAAATATATAAAAATTTAGTTAATAAGTCATTATTTTGAGTAAAAATATTGAGAAAGTTTCTCATTAAAAAGACTTACAGGATCAACTGTGATATCTGTATTGGATTTATAAAAGTTTAAAAATGTTAACACTCTTTATTTTTACTTGTTGACATACCAAACATGGTCCATAAATATCTTATTTGCTGATTTATTTGCCAAATATCTGCAACAAATGCATAAAGAATATAATTAATAAAATGTCTTTAATTATTGGAGTATGATATTAATGTAAAATATTCACATTGGTGTTTTTTTTTTTCTTTTTTTACCTTTTTACGTGGAGAAAACCGTGTATATAGCTGTGAACTCCGGCCGATGATCTGTCTTCAGACACACCTGCATTCAGCCTCTTCAGTGTGGCTGCTGTGTAACGATGTTAGCGTTCCCTTTTATGAGTTTTGCGAAGGTGGTGGGACTATTTTCTTCATCATTCTTACCAAACAACAGAGATTTTGTGCTTAATTCTGTCCCGCAGGTGAAAAAAAGTTATTTTACTGTGTCAGTAACAAGTAAGAAATGTCTCCAAGTGCCAGACTTTCCTTGCTTTTGCTGTTGTTTTATAAAAACCAGCCTTAAACTTCCTCTTAAATTCATTACTTTGTCTCCATCCTCCTCGTACTATAATTGTCACACATCCTGCTGTAAACACCTGAATTTCCAAAATAATAGC